TTAATTGGGGTAAAGCCCGGCCTCAGTTACACCTCTAGTTCATCAATTCCAGGACCCTTGGAGGGATTCAGGATCCCTGGCCTGGCAGGACAAACAGCAACCAGGTCAGGAAGAGGCAAAGGGAAAAGCTGGGGTACCAGCAGGGCTTACACCCCACTGCCTTCTGTCACCCACCTGCTTCTGCTTAGCAGACGGGACTTGGAATTATTCCGCTTTTTTAAAAATACAGGAAACTTCTCATAGCCAAGGAAAGGCTGATATTGCCTAACTTGGCAAAGGCAGGAAGGTGGGATTTGCAAGAAACACTGGGACAGCAGCTCTGTGCCCCAGGACAGAAAGCTTGTGAGGTTTGGCTTTCAGGTGCAGTGTGTGGCGCAGCCTGGGCACTCTGTGGGCAGTCAGGGCTTTCTGTGCTGGCACCTTTTCCCTGGGTGATATCATTGTCCGTATGGAATTTTTATAGTCGGACTGGATATTACAGTGCTGGGCTTTAAGGCAGAGCAGTCCTTTTCCTTCAGGTTCTTCTGCAGCCCCGTGAACCGTCTGGGTAGTGGCGAAGCCTTGATGGAGCTCTACAGGATCCGGCTCCTGAGGCATCTCCCAGCCCTCAGGAATCCTGACAGCAACACATGGGCAGGCCACAGATGCTGCTTCCTGGCTGGCACAGGGCTTGTGGCCACCTCTTAGGAGCAGGTTAGTTCTTTTGTGTGGGTCAGTCACCCAAGGCAAAAATACCCTCTCCCATTAAACATCCCTCCCCGTACAGCCATGCAGGGGAAAGAAAAATTCCGTGCCTGGTTTGTTAGAACAAGGAAACCTATGAGAGTAGGCAAGGGAAGGGACTTGTATGCAAGGCAAAGCAAGGCAGCAGCAGGTAAAGCACAGCAAAGTAAGGGAGAGACAGTTAAGGCAAGGGCAAGCAAGGGCAAGGCAAGAGGAGGGAGGGGGGCAAGGGAAGGCAAGAAAAGGGAGGGGTGAGGCAAGAATGGAGAGGGGCAAGGCGAGCTAGGGAGGGGCAGGCAAGGCATGGCAATGAAAGGAAGGGGCTGGCAACAGTAGACAACGCAAAGGAGAAGTAGGAGAGGCAAGGAAAGGCATAAGAGGGGTAGGCAAGGCAAGGCAAAGGTAGGCAAAGCAAGACAAGGCAAGGGAGGCATAGCAAAGCAAGGCAAAGAGAGAGGCAAAGGAAGGGCAAAGAAGGCAATGCAAGGAAAGGAAGGGCAAGGGAGAGGCAAGGCAGGGGCAAGGGAAGGTAAGGCAGGGGTAGGCAAGGTATGGCAATGAAAGAAGGGGAGGGCAAGGGTCAGCAACACATGGGAGAAGCAGAAGAGGCAAGGAAAGCCATGGGAGGGGCAGGCATGGCAAGGCAAGGCTTGTTGAACCAAGACAGCATAAGATGTATTTCTTTTTCAGGCTGGCCGTCTCCAGTCAGAGATCTCCATGGAGAGCTGCTCGGACACAGAGGCCTTGATACAAGGGTGCATAGGTAGGGATAGTTTTCCTCCATGCCTTGGAGAGTTTTCAGACCAAACCAGCTGAAGGCAGCAAAGTTGCAACAAAACAAACTCAGCTAATAAATATGCATTAAGAGCCCTTGCACAAAGGGTTTGTGTGCACAAATACTCATAAGTGAATAATAACAGATGACACTGTAGCCAAATCAAGAGATTATGTAAATTGTAAAGATGAGTTTATGAATTGTCTTAAAAATATATATGAGGAAACAAGAGTGGTAACACAACGCAAAAAGGCAAAAATTAGCTTCTTTCAATGCAGCAGATTAGTGAGATAAAAGAAAAAAACTCTATTGCACTAACTCTGTAACATTGCTGACATTATCACAAACTTGTCAATTTACACCAACAAAGATTCAGCAAGAATTGACTGCTCTCAGAGGTAGAGTTGCTTCATCTTTTGGATGGATTGTTCCCACCAATCTTGCCAACGCTGAATTGCCAGCAGCCGAGCTGCACTTTCTTCCTTGATCTGGGCGAACAGCTGCTCAAGCTTACATTTGTATTTCTGTATAAAAAACAATTAAGGACACAATTGGTGCTGATGAAATATAATTTTACTTTGCCTAAATCCAGGTCCTGATCCATTGTGCCAGAAGACTGCACAGAGGCCACTTGTTTTCTACCTTTGACAACAGAACTATGTGAATAATTAATTGTTCACCGTGTCCCTTCTGTGTTCCTTTTAAAGACATCTGGAACTAAGTTATCAGCAATATTTAACTCTTGCTAAAATGCAAGATCTTCATCTCACTTCCATTAGCTCCTTAGATTAGAGAGTTGCCTACCCTCGAGAACTCAAGCATGCATCTGCAACATGGGATGCACTCAGGCTCTGGCCAGAACTTCTTAACTCACAGGTATGACCTGAACTACTATCAAGCTGCTAAAAAGGTACTTCATCTAAACAGAAACTTGTAGTCTACTATGAAAACCTCAAAGGTCCCGTATTAAAGAGTCCACGCTTCAAAACATAAAATACTGTGTTTTTAATGCAACACACATGCAGGAAAATATTTTTGTGGCATGTATCCAACTGTTTGTATCCAACCAAAAAGGTTCCCTTCAAAGCTGTGCTGTAACCAGCTGCTTGGGCACCAGGACCAGATCCATAAAACACTCATGCAAATTGATAGTTTTGATGACATCTGCCACTGTTGACAGTGTATTTTACATTTCCCTATTAAATATATATATTTTAAAAGTTAATTCAGTTCACCAGTCCACATCAGACGCATAAATACTGATCATTTCTTTCCAAATGATTTAACATAAGAATATTCTTCTAACTGCTGAGCACTGCTGTTCTGCAAGTGATTGTCAGTGCCAGTCAGAGGGTCAGAGGTGTCTGCAGCATGTTCATTCTTCTAGCAGCCTCAGTGAAGAAAGAGTGATCATTTTTACGGTGAAAACAGTGATCTGTGATATTTCTGGATATAAGATAGGTATGTGGTATTTTACAGCCCTTTACCTGTTATTGAAAACTCAGCCTTTGTGATCTAACTCTAAACTGTAGGCTTTAGAAAGAAAGGTGAGTGAAAGCAGCACTGGAGCAGCATGGGGGCAGAAGCTGCTTTTGAAACCGTGGTGCTGCTGAATGCAGTGCCCTGTTTCTGACACCATCCATGCTTCCCTGCTGAAACAATTCCCCTTTGTCATGCCTCCAAATGAGAGGGTTCCCTGAGAAACCAACCCTGTCTGCTTCTGACAATGTCACGAAGAAACGGACACAAAAGAGGACTTCTACACGTGGATAATATGGCTTTAAAATCTGAAAACACTGGGTATGTTAAAACTTACACATAGATACGATTCTGCGGTTTTCTTCTTAAAAAACCTATCCCCCAAGAGCAGCAGCCCCACTCACAGACCCACCTGGTATGCAGCTTGTCTCGCATCCATCACTGCTAGATGGCCCAGGGTAGTCTGAGCTGTTGAAACCGTTGCAGTTCCTCTGCAAAGAACATAGGCTGGAGCTTCAGGAAGAGTAGTCTCAGGTATTCCTGGTCAAGTCCTTTAAAAAACCAAATCAACCAACCAAAAAACACACGACAGAGAAACTTAGGAAAGAGAGTCTATCATACTAATTAACGTTACTTGTACTAAAGTGCAAAAGATCCATTTTAATTTTTTTTTAATCTCCACAAAAGGCTTACCCTACAAACTTCTTTGTTAAGTACAACCACCTTTTCTTTTAAAACTTCAGGACCTCTGCACAGTATTGAATTCTTATCTTCTGAATGACAATACACAGTATATTCACAGATCTGAAAGTGCTGAATTGATAACTAGTGGCTAGCAAATGGCACAGTAATAGCCATGACATTGTATTGTTTTACACTACAATATGTAATTCACTTTTATTTGGATCCATTGTAATTCTTTCTTTAAAATCACCACCCACCCAAACTGCCCCATAACTAGTTCAATGACATCACTAAAAATGAGCATAGTGCAAGTGTAGAAAACCCTTCCAGAAGATTTTACTAGGAGGAGATGAGGGTTTTTCGCTTAAGAAAGCTTTCCTGCCTGGAAAGAGGCATCTTTCCCAGAGACAGTTTTGGAATGTTTCTCTTCCTGCATTCCGGAGAAGCTCTCCCTGGTATGAGAAAAGATAAGTTGTCACAGACACATTTGAGGGACAATAAAAGCCCTGAGAAGAACAGGAGGCATGTCTTTCCCCAGGCCCGGTGCAGTTTTGTGCTGATATGTTGTGTTCTCAACTTTTGAAAATAAATTCTCCTAAATCCTTCCACTGCCTGATATCTTTGGAGTACCTGCATGTATTTGACCCTTACAATAAGTATTCAGCAGCTTCATCAAGTGCAGCAAAAAAAACTATGAGGACAGTGCCTGGTACCAATTTAGAGAAGAGAAATTCGACAGAACAGTGTTCAGTATCTTCAAACATTACCCCCTCCCTCGTTTGATTAACTGTTGAACTTTAGAGGTTTCTAGAGGAAGTCCAGCTTGTTTCCGATGGCTTAAAGTCAACATCTTCTCTCTAGGTCTTTCAGTGTCTGGAAGATAATAGAAGATCTACTCAGCAAAAGCAAAACAGTGGCAGAAACATGATTGTTTTGGAGGAACTACATGCAGCTTGATGCTCTACACTTTCAAGAAATAGCTTTGTGGGCTTCATTACGCAAATCTTTGCATTTAAAATATTACAGCATATAAAAGCCTCTGCTTCCTAGGGGCAGTCTGCTGCAGTCTTTGAAAAGGGAAAGAAGGCCTGAACAAGCAATTTCTTCTTTACTTACCTGCTACTTGTATGTCATCAACGGTGATGGTTTCATCCAATTCCAAGAGCAGCTTTTCAGCGAGGGCAGCCAGTGCAGAAAAAAAGCTCTGAGCACACTCAGCAGCACAGTCCTGTTGGGATATTGGAGACAAGTGAGAGAAATTCTTTTGATAATTTGATCTCCTTTTAATTTGGCTCCAAAAGAACTACACGAGTATCCAACCTTGACATTCTGCAGCAGGTGCAGCTAACAGACATAAAGCTCGAAGTGGCACATAAAAGGGTCTCAAAGCATCTCTCTGCAGTATTCTTAACACTGCCTGATCATTAAAGTTCACAGAACTGTAGAGTTCTGTGCATAGGCACCCATCAGATATATAGTTGTGTTAAACCTGAGAAAAACAGCTGTCTGTAAATGCATCCTTCTTCCCAAAGCAAAGACCATTTTGGAATTCGGGTACTTTGAGTGGAAGTGCTTTGGCCAGGTGTTATTCTAAAAGAGGGTATTTGTGTTTCTGTGTCTGTAGGCAGAGTTAAGAGTAGAAGGAGCTGTTACTTTGCAATTAAAAATATATATACTCTGCAGACAGTATAGAATTTGGAGTAAGTGGCCTGAGAGAAGAAAATAAAGAGCTTTAGTGCTGGGCAACCAACCTTCAATAAACCCCTGGGGTGGAGGGGGAAAAGTGTTTTGCTTCCTGAATCTCTCCTGTAAATTCTGCTTATTCCAGTACTTAATCTTGTGTGGAAAAGTGTCAATTATTTGCACTAATGAAATGCACAGAGAAGAAAGAAACCCTTTCAGGCATCTGTTGTCTGCAAAGAAGAGAACTAACCAGAGGATGTCACCCCTGCAGCCAACACTCCTATCTACCATTAAGCTCACAGCCAGCATGCTCTGTGAATGATACACAAGATCAGTTAGTTCCACAATAAATCTATACATGCCTATGTGTGCATGTGTATTTATGTCAATATTGAGCTAATGCTGATAATACAGAACTTAAAAGTGGAACGATATATGACCAGGATTGCCTAAAACTGAAAACATTTTCAAGTTTCCTTTAGATGGGGAGGAAAAATGTACCCAAAATGCACTCTCCTTTCCAAATGCAACATTTAAATTCACAGTAAGCAAGGGTTTTACAATTACCTGCAGCATCTTTGTGTTGAGGTGAACACCCTCAGTTTGATCTTTTTGCCTTTTTATTTCCTCTTGCCACAAAGCCTCCAGCTGAAGGGAGTTGTTTGGGTGTCCCAGGGAGTAATGTCATTTTCTCCGGTGCGCAGTCTTTAAGGAAATACACCAGAAAGAAATGCCTTTGGTAAATAATGTACTTTTAGTCATAATAAGGAAGAAGTAAACCCAAAACATTTTATAGAAAAGTATTCAGAAAGACAAAGAAAACAGAGCTACTCCGTGGCTGTCTGGAGATAAACCTTGCAGTGCAGCATGCACTAAACTGCCTCTCTGCTGGAGGACAGGGCCTGTGGTCTCACTCCAGGGTTTGTTTTCAGTAAATAATCATCTCTCCTACCAAGTGGTAAAGAAGATACTTTTTTATAACTCTATATTTGTAATTTTTTCCTGAATTTAACTTAATACTCAGAGCAACAAAGCCTGAAGTTACTGTAGCATTTTCTGCATGATCTCCATTATGATTCTGTTCTGAGTTCTGACATTACTGGAAAAAAATGTGCCTCTTTTATGACTAATAGTAAATAATAGTATTTCATTTGCCATATGCCATAGTTCCTACAAAGGAGTGCCGCCATACAGTAGGAGCTGTATGGCCCTACCACAAGGTCACAGCCCTTGCAGAGTTGACAGTCCAAGTGTAAGGCTACAGGCAGAGTTGACAAGATAAGAAAAGGGCAGACCAGTGCTGGAAGAGGGCAGAAAAAGGACTGAGTTCCAGGAAATACAAAGCTTCCAGGAAAACTACCCAGACTAACTGCAAACACAGAAACTACACCTCAGCTCAGCAGGGACTGATGAAGCAAAGAGCGAAAATGAGAAAAAGAAAATTTTATCAGATGCATTTAGCATTGCTTACACTGGAAGCATTCCAATATATCCATGATAGATACCTTCATATCCTCCCACTCTCCCAGCTGTCTGTTGAAGAGGTGCTGAATCTGAGCAGTGCAAGAGCTGAGTTTCTGCTCATGTTCTCTTAAAAGACTATCCACTGCTAACTGGGAGACAGAAGAGAGCTCCTCCTCAAACCACTTCAGCTGATCCCGAAATTCTTTGGGGAAAAAACAGGGTGTGTACGGGACACAGAAGTATTAATTGCAAGGAAAAAAACCCCACTCGGTCCAGATGAACACACACTGCAAGGGTCAAACAGCCTGGAATTTTCTCTCTCAGAGATTCTGTCTCTGCCATTCCTTTTCCTAGGTCCAAGGCTTTGAGAAACATACACTTGCTTAAAGATGTGACCTGTACAGGTCTTTCAACTTAGTCAAGTGCCCTTCTGCTATGATTTTTGTAGCTGAGAATACTCAGAAAAGAATATTGGCTCAAGTCCCAGTAAAATCAACTGGAGTTTTTCCACTGAGTCTGATGGATTAAGACAACAACATTAATTCTTGGTCACTGCCATTTTCAGCTTACATATTGAAAAACTGCACACATGAGAAATTAAAAGTCTTAAAGGAGTGAATTTACCTCTAAGACAGAAATTGTAGTCATCATCTGCCTGTCTTTTGTATGACAGTAGTTTCTGTCTGAGCTTTTCTGCCCAACGTTCAAAAGTCTCTGGCAGATATTTAGGTATTCCCATCTGAGGTGTCTTTTCTCCATAAAAATCCTGCAGAAGGCAACAAAAAAACAGATAAATTGTTGATAACACATTCAAATGTGTCACATCTAGGTATATAACAGCAGGAGAAGGAAGGAAAATTATTGGATGGTCTGACAAATACTGAAAAGAACCAAATTATTTCTCTGACACAGGAGTGGACCTATGAAAGCAAAAGTGACTGAAGAACAGAAGGTTTTCTTACCTCACCGAGGTCAAGCAAGGTGTTGCTACCCGTCCAGAGAATATTCATAATGATCCCCTTCAAAGTACTGAAAACCAACAAAAGTTAAAAAAAAAAAATTAAATACTATCACACGGTAAAATTATCACATTGGCAATATTCACTGCTCTTCAAATATTCTGTTCAGGTTAATTTTAATACATTTTTCAGAGCATACCCAAACAAATATTCAGAATGCCTAAGATCCTTCCCCTGCATTAGCACTGGTTCTTTTCAGAAGCAGCCAGGACTTGCAGCTATTGTAAATGATCACTAGAGACACTGCCACATCAAAAAGCAATCCTAGCCAACTTCCTGTGCCTAAAACTTGCCTTAAGAACTGACCATGCACTCTGGATAAACCAGAAATATTTGAAGGTGGGTCTAGCTTTTTACTGGAATTATTTTGAAACACAGTGGGAAATAAAATTCCCAAGTGCTTAAACATCTTAGGCATTAATTTGAATAGTTTTGCATGGCACGTACGAAATATCTCAGTTCTGTAGAGTACAGCTGCACAGATAGGATAATTTTCTTAGAGAAGGGGAATGGGACCTCTTTGCTCCATGTTTATTCCTATCAGTGGAATATTGAGCACAAGAATGTAGTGTATAAAATGTATTGGTCTTCTCAGATGTGAAAATAATGGAAAGACAGGCTATTTTATATTCCCCACCCTCTTCTTGCAAATGTGCAAAATGGGCTCCAATGAGACCTCCCATTTCAGACATTAAACAGAATAAAACAGATGACCTTTTATTTTCATTGTTAGTATGTTACAAAAAGGAACTGTTCTGTAAGCACTTTGACCAATAAATATCAAGGTTAAGTACCTCAAAATTCAATAGTGAACTCTATAGGTCACAATGATAGATAGATACATAGATTAGATAGATAGAGGGTTTTTTCAGATTAACTTCTTCTGCAAATATCCATGACTTACTCAGACTTTGGAGGCTTCTTTTCAAATATCTGGTATGTCCTGTCCTTGGGAACAGATTTGGTGCTTTTCTTTTCGCTAGGAAAGAAAAACATTCATTTGATGCTATCCACGAGTGTTTTCCTTCTCTGGCTGATGATGGGAGTATGTGATGGACTGAAGAAAAAAAATCAGAAAAATGTAACTCTAAAACTAGTATTATGTGTGTCCTGGACAGGGTTAATTTTTGGCCAGGACCTGGAGGTTATTCTGTACCACCTCCTGTCATTGCCAGGGCCAGGGAAAGGGGCATTGGCGGGGCTTTCCTTGTGGTGAGCATCACATGGGAATCCTTTGCCTCTCTTGTACACTTTGTTATTCATATTGTTGCTGTTACTGTTTGTTTTCTCACCTCATTGTCCTTGCCAGCCCACCAGGAGGGGAGGAGGAGAGGGAAGTGAGAGCTTGGACTTTTTCAGGGGGAACACTAAATAGAGGAATACCATTCCTAAATCACAACAATATGAAAATAATTTTTTGATGGAAAAAGATTCTCAGGATTCTCTTCTGAACTCTCAGCTGTTCAAAACTTTTCTGTTGTTTTCACCGTTACAGTAGCTCATTTCATTGATCCATGGACTGAGCTGAACACAAACTATTTAGACGCCACACCTGAAAATTAAGCCACACTGATTTAAGGGTTAGCCTATATTTCAACAGCTTCAGAGTCCAAAACAGCAGCAGATGAAGGAGAAAAAGAAAAACGTTTTCCCAGCCACAATCTGGAAAAAAAAAAACCCAAACAAAACAAAGCTGATCACGTGGACATAAACAGAGATGGAAAAAAAGGCTCATACAAAAAAGCATTAAGAATCTTTCAATGAACAGGCAGGGCACAAAGTTGACTTAAATTTCTGCATAGGAATATTTCAAGTGGAATTCCTCCTTTCAGGGGTCTCACCTTTTTTTTGGCTTCGTTTCATCCAAAGATGATTTCTTGGTGCTCTGAGCTGCACGTGCATTGGATACCTTCTTCTTTACTGGAGGAAGAATGGGTTTTAGTTAACAAGGAAAGATGAAGAACATTTTATAAATGACAACTGAAGTATTTTTTATATGGATATGAATTTTGTGTTCCTGTTTTCCTTACAATATGTAGGGCACAACTACAGGAACAATCCTAACTGAGGCAACCCAGAAGTGGCAACAGCAATAAAGGTTATGTTCTGGGGATGCCAAAGAAAATGGACAGATGGGAGGAGATATAAACCAACATGAAGGCAGGAGAGTGTGAACAACGTGAATAAGGAGAATGAATGGGCTACATTCATAGTCTTGGCTGTGACAGGGACTTGGAAATGTGGAAGAGATAGAGAATACCTTTAAAAATGGCTGGAGAAGTCAAGCTCTCCAGAAGAGAGATGGGGAAATCAGAACACTACACAGGTAGCACCTGGGATTACCTCTGTGCTCACGTTTGAGTGGATGATAACACAATTTGAGAAGTATCCCTGATTCCCTACGTATTTTCATGACCTCTGTTCCAATTCTTTTCTCTATTCCTTTTCCCATCACAGAGATATTCTTTGTAACACTATCTCATTCTGCAGCTTTCATTGGTTTAAGAGACAAAAATCATCTTACTATTCCAAGGTGAAGATGTCCAAGAAAAAAAGTGGGAGGCACCAACTCTCAGAACCAACAGGGAAGCCACTGGTCTGGAACATGCTAGACTTGTGCAGTAAAATGAGAGGAACTACAGTTTAGATGAACAGAATGCATTAAAAGAAATATAGGCACACGTGGTCCTAATGAACGTGAGCGATCTTTTCTCTCTTGATTTAAGTCTGGAGATTGTTTGGACGGGACAAATCTAAAACAAAAAAGAGAGAGAAGTGGCTGTTGAATATCCTGGTATTTTATGTTCTATATTACATACTACATTATACAGAGACCTGGGCAAGTTCTCCATCCCTACCATGAGCTAAGTGTGGTTAAATTTCTGAGATCATATTTAACAGATAGGGTTACTTTTACAACTGACAGTGTATACTGAAGTACTTTAATGGGACTAACTAACTCTTTATCTGAAATTTTGGAATTTCTACAAGCAAAAATGCATTAAAATACTATTTGCAAATCAAACACTTTTCATATTCTTCATTGCACACTTTTCAGTCGACTGTGTAGCATGTAATCACCTTTTAAGGTGATCACCTTTAAGACAAAAATTGAATTGCTACATCTAAACTTTATCATTGTGCTATAAAATAGATGTCACTTATTACTCAAAAGGGGGTATTTTTTGCTGTTAGAAATCTTGCTTTTAAAAAGAAATCAGTCTCAGCCAGACTGATTTTTAAAGTTAGACTGATCAGAAAGTATGAAGTAGTATTATCTACCAACAGTCTATTCAAGTTCTGGATATACAAGGGATTCTACAAAATATGAATTCAGGAAAACCTTTATATGCTTCTGGAACATAAATTTAAAAAATACTGTTGTGAAGCCCCTTGTAGCATATCATGAGCCTCACGGAGAGAAGTGGCATATGGAGCTAAGAAAATATAAATTAAGGACAGAAAAATACCTTTAGGCAAACAAGTACTTACCCAACTAAATTCCGGATAACACTTATTGCCAAATCATCAAGTGCTGACGTATCCGTTCTGCTGGGATTTAACACGGGGAATTTTTCAGGATCCAGCCCCATTACCATCCTTTTGCTCTCATCTCTGAGGCTCTCTCTTTGAACAGCAGGAGCAATGGAATCTTGTGACATCCCATCCATGGCAAGAGTGGGAACGTCCTCCTGAAATGGGAAGAAAAATGAAGCCCTCTTGACTGTGGCAGGCAGTCAGTGAAAGCATTCCACATAGTAACTGGCTACTAAAGCAGATCTTCCAAACAGACACTATTTTGCTTCACAGGCTGAAATAAAAGTTTTTGTCATTCTAGTAACAATGTTGTTACAGTTATACAACTCTGAAACACTTCAGAGCAGTTCAGAGTAGGTTCTCAAAATAATCATCAACAGTATTTAAAGGTATACTCTCAAAACAATGATCCAATGAGATGACAAAGTAAAGACAGACTTTCCAGAAAAGGAAAAAAGGAAACACAACCCATTTGATAGAAACAAAATCTCTTCCGGACACATTTGGTTTTTTTAAATTATTTAAAGAAATCCATGAAATATGTATCTATGAATAGTGCCTTGAAAACAAACTCAACTAAGCAACTCATTGCATTTTGTAAACTTGGTGCTGACTGCTGATTTACTCAACCTCTTAATAAAATGTCCTGATGTTACAGTGTCTTGGGCAGCTTAGCATAATGCAGATTCTTTCTTCATTTGAAAATTCAAAGCACAGATCCTGAAAAAGTTTTAAAGCATCTACTCAGAGAAATTCTCTCAACATTAAATAAAATATAGAGAATGTAGATACTTACACTGGCACGTGGGATCATTGCTTTTTCTAAGAAGCAGTCAAGATACTGGCTTCTCTTTTGCAGCTCTTGAACAGCTCTTTAGCAAAATCATACAACTCTTCAGAAGCTGAAGCCTTAAAGACATGGGAATACAGATGGTATTTATTAAACTAGATCTTTTGGCCTTTTCAAACATGCTGACTCTTGCAAACAACATCAGTGGCCTCTATTCTGTCACCAGCTTATCTACACATACGTGGAAGCAATGAGATAGCACAGAGGTTGAGCTTTTGGTCTGGTAAAGAGGAAAAGAGGTGTGGGACCTTCCTGAGCAAAAATTCTGTGTTTCTGCCCACCCCCTAAATGTGAAGAAACACCAGTCCACCTTAAAAATATTAGTTTATGCAATCATGCACAGTGAGTCTAATAACAATTATTAACAATCCAAATTAAATACCATTTTGTGCTGTTTAGAACTTACTTCTTTATCTGCAGTAGGATGAGCACAAGCATCTCTCTTCTGCTGGAGCTTCTCCACGTAAGACTTTAATGTCACTGACTGCAAATTGGAATTTGCTACCTAAAGCAGAAGCAGACAGTGGGGAAGTAAAATCCCCATTCAGGAGATTTTCAGAGCCTCCACTTTCAAACCACTAGAACCATTGATAAAAACAGGTTAAAAAAATCCCTGGTACTCAGAGGAGAAGCTGAAAACAGTAATTCATAAAAGCAACACTTCACGTCCTTCACTGTACCACACAAAAATGCTGGTCAATTCAGATGTACATACTCAATGTGCTGCAGGCCCACAGTGTTCCAGCACAGCTGCAGCAGTAAAAATAAAGTTTTAAGCTGACAGCGACAGAAAACAGGTTTTGAATTAACACAGCAGGTCACTTCATGTTTGTCCACTCTGAATTCAGCCAAAATCTCTTCAACAGGATGAAAAAAAAAAATAATTATTATATGGAATTTAAGCAAGGTTCTGATGTTTCCCTTTGTACCTCTGATTTGATTTGCTGTTGTAGCCATCTCAAAGATTTCTGGACCTTCCCCATAAAGGCTCGACTCACAGAGACATCAGCAAACTTTTTTTCAGACTGCTTGATAAGTTCAGTAGCCTTTAAGAAAGCCAGAAACAAGAGACAGGACTAGGTGATTTTTTACTTTTTAAAACTTAAATAATAGAACTCGCCATTTTTATTTCTTTTTTTTCATCATTACATAATTGCCAAAGAGAACAGTCTTACAGTTGTAATTGGAAAGCAGGCTGACTGCAAATCACATATATCAATAGAAAACATAACTTGAAAGAATAAAACTCTGCATACCTGCTCCAAGCAGCTTGATTCCATTTTCTCCACATCTGTCTTGATTAAACTTTCCAGAGAGTCAATTTGCTTACTTTCTTTCTGAAGACAGCTGTGGAAAAACTTTACTTCTTCCGAAGAGAAGTCACCTCCCTCCAAAAATAATCTGAAAGCAAAAGTAGAAGCTGTGACTCTTCTTTTCCTCCAAGACTATCTTAGCTAAGCAGCCCTAAAATGTGGATATCAACACAAATGTGATGAAAACAGCATAATAATTGTGGCTTAATGGAATTTTTTTTAAAATAGCAAACTACATGAATAACGAAATAAACTTTAATTTTACCCTTCTGCCTATGCAACAAACGCTGATGCCCAGAAATAGGGCACTATTTATAAACAAAACTCCCATGAAATCTCTATACCTGCAAGTTTTGAGAAAATCCACATTTGAACGCTTTAGTTTTCCTAAAGCTTCCTCCAAATGGTGCTGGTAACTCCTCACAGTAACCCCAACTGATTCCAGATGATTGTGGAGCTCTGATTGCAGACTGTTCCTGGAAGAAGCTGACCTAATAAGAAATAATAAAAGACAGGGAAAACATGTCAGAAGAGGAACACACATGATGATCTGGCGACTGCTGGCTGTAAAGACATGAACAAATGTCAGAATTCAAAAGTGATTAAGTGAAGTCTGAAAGCAACCACCCGAGCTGGGATGGTCTGACTGAACACATGGAAGGTATCAGCAACAGCTGATGCTATTGAGGGGTTTTCTTCAAAATCAATTAGTCAATTACTATTACTGTGCAGGTTCAGTAAAGTGGAGAAAATCTAAACAGATGAAACATCTTTTCTACTTAAAGACTGCCAGCACTTTGAAAAGAGATGAAAAATTCCATATGTTCAGCCCTGATTTTAATTTTTTCAGGGAGAGAGAATGAAATTCTTTCCATCTTTTCCAGTTTTATAAAGTACTCTTCACTGAAGAATAATGATGTATAAAACAGGTTCAGAATGCAAACCAGAAACATCTCAGACAGCAATCAGGAGTATTTAACAATGGAGACTTCCAGCCAGAAACACCTGTGGCACACTTACTGCTCAGTCACAGGAGCATGGAGGAAGTCATACTCCAAGTTACGGATTCGGGAGCCGAAGTTTTTGTTGAGGTTAGTTAGCTGATCCAAAAATTGGTGAAATTCAGCTTTCTCCTTTTTCAGGCCTTCTTCCAGTCCCTCACAGTGGCACTCGAGACGCTCTTTGGGAAGTGACAGTTCCCCTGAGAAGAAAAGAAGTTGTCCAGTATGGATATTATTCCCTGTTTGCTGGGGACTACCACAATGCCCAGTCAGCCTACGACCAACAGCAGCAGCAAAATAAACAGAACCAGACCTCGCAGTAACTAAACCATACAAATAAACCACATTCCCTTTGGTTTCTTTGGCTTTCCTTCTGTGTTAAACATATATCCTTAGCAGCTCCTAATCCATTCAAAACACAAATGTCTCTTGTTTGCTCTAAACATTCTTTTTCCTTTATTTTTGGTCATTGCTGACATCTTCATTAGATCTCTGTTCTCAATCTTGTAACAAAAGTAAAGTGTTTTGGTTTTTTTTTTTTAATGGAAAATACACTTCTCCCTGGTTTTGTGAGGGGAAAAAACATCAGTTTTGATCTCCCTTCTGGAATGATAGTTGGATAAATCAAGAGCCAGCCAATTGCCTCAATAAAGCAGCCAGAAAAAGCACCTCTTTGCAGAAAAAGGGAAATTGAAAAATTGTTTGCCTGTTCTCCCAAGAGAGAGTTTTTTACTTTACATGTTAAAGACCAACAAACCTGTCTAAAGTACTTTTTTCTCGCCATAAAAACCAGACAATTCTCATGTGAAAAAGGTTTTGATTAGTGGCTGCTCTGTAGTTGCTCAGTGATATTTCACAGAGCTAAATCCTTCCTCTCGTGTTTTCAGAAGCCTGGTCCTGCCATTTCAGCTCTCTCAACTTGGCTAATTCTTTCTCCGCAACACCCGTAAAATTAGTTTTTTGTACAATAAAAACTCTTGTTAAATAATTTCAAGGCGAATGAGAATTCACCAACGTTGACAATACAGTCTTCTACATCTCCTACAGTGCAGTTGTTGATCAGGGCACCACTGTCTATTTTTCCAAACATAACGTAGCACAAACCAGGAAGAGGTGTAGAAATGTCATTCTGAAAATAGATGAGTAACATATTACACTGGGAATTTGTACACACTCAACTGCTTCCTTGCTCAGTTGTCCTTTACAATGCTGAAATAGTTTTGGCCCACTTGTGATCATCTCTAAAAAAAGTCATATGATGCTCACAGTAAAAAAAAAAAACCAGTACCAGCTCTAACATTGTAGATATTTGTCTCTATCTCCTCCTGCTTTTCTTGATGCAACTGAAGACGCAGCAGAAGTACTGAATTCAGCTCCTCTTTCTTGGCAGCCACGAAGACACGGGATTTGGACAAGGATTCTGCAAACCATTTCTCCAAGTGTTCAAAAAAGCAGAGGCGAATCCTACGATTGAAAAAGAAATACTACAGCGAGGAACAGTAAATAATAAATAAGAATTTACTAAATACATTAATTCTAAGAATTTCACTTCTGACTACAGGAAGATATGCTTTCAGTACCATTTGCACAATACTAGTCAAGTTTTTGAGCTAGCTGCCTACTACTGAGTACCAGGCATTTGACCTTCATGGCTCTGCAGGGAATTTGGGAATTTTACTGGTCTTTCTGTGATCTGTTTTCTCACTTAATAAATTTCCGTAAAATATGAATGTTCTGTAAAGGTAAACGCATTTGTGGTACTTTGAAAGGATGGCTACAAAGCAATATAAACATTTTCTTATATTTGTATCAATTTAAAAAAGAGGAATGACATAATAATTATACAATTACAATTTTATAATTAGAATATCTCATTATATAGTAATAATTAGCTAATTTTTGCCTCTTCAGTAGAATGTTTCTTCTAAAGGGCTGGAATTTGTCTATTACGTAAAGAAGCTGTTTACTACTCACTTTTTCTTCAGCTTGACAAACACGGTTTCTTTGAGAAGCACATATTTCAGGTACATAGGAAGTGATTCTTTGATTCTTCCTTTTCATATTTTGTAAAATAATTCTCTGTGATGTCAGTCTTTCCTGCCTCTTCAACTCCAAGGACAGCGTCAATGTTTCCACTAGCAGTGGAAAATATTTCCATGGCCTTTTCAGTACCTTCTGCCTTGCTGCTATTGAACACTGCCTAGTGAACAGTTGGAAATCATCATCTGCTACCTTTAAAGGTATCAGCATGGAATCAACACAGCACAAGCTAATGTAAGAATCCTAAGGATATTTAGAATAGCATTCTCATTCTCAGTTTGGACAACACCAATACAGTGTCAGCAATATTTATATATTTATATATGCTGGGAAGGCTCAATAGGTAAAATCACCTATGTTTTAGATGGCTTTTGATATGTTAATAAAATAATGGAATTAAAGACCTGAAAAAACAATACTTAGGTACAAATACAGCTTAAAGCATTCACCATGGCTTAAGAACACTGTGATGAAAGAAAGATAGATTAAAACAAAAACTATGCAAAGAGTTTTTACAAAGGGAAAAGCAGTGCTTGTAAATGGTTTTATACACTCTATTTGTCCATAAAAAGGATCTAAACCCCTATGGGCTTTGACAGACTAAGCAAACAAAGACTTTCTATTCATCCTCAGCAAAAAGACTTCCTATTCCTCCTTATTTTGGGCAGGACTGCCTTCACCTTCAAAATTTATTCTCTTGTTCACTTAATCTCTGTAACACTTACCCCTTGTTCTGCATGTTCAGTGTCTTCACTTGTATGAGGAATGCTCTCTCCATCTTCCTCTGTTTCTTCAGTTTCCTGTGCCAAGATCTCCTCATGCTCAGCTGGGTTTGTTTCTCCATCTGATCGTGGACAACTGTCTGTCTCTTCTGGCATTGGCTGAGAGAGACCATTGTCCCACTCTGCTCTCTGCTGGTGCACCTCAAGTCCTGGAGGCAATTTTGGATGCCACAACGTAAGAAAGATCTAAACCTATCAGGGAGCGTTCAAAGGAGAGAGACACAGCTGGTGAAGGGACTAGAGGGGAAGCCTTGTGAGGAATGGCTGAGGTTATTTGGCTTGTTCAGCTGGAGAAGAGGAGACTGAGGTCAGAGCTTATTGGGGTCTGCAGCTCCCGAGGGGTGGTGGAAGGGCAGCTCCCATCTCTGCTCTGTGTGAGCAGGTGTCCTAGTTAGGACAGCTGAGTTCATCATGGTATGAGTGTAAACCAAAACTGTGTATTCTATAGCCTTCCATGCCATTTCCCAGAAACTGTTGTCAATAGACTATTAGCACCTCTGCCCATAAGAGCCTGACTCCTCAGGCTATAAACTAGGTGTTAAGAGGCCTGTGAGATAAGAGGATGCTTTTACCTTTTATGGAACTCCCTGAGGGAAGAACTGACCATTCCTGCCTGAACTGAAGAATATAAAAAACCTGGAGTTCCAGAACTGGGGGACCTGCTCGTGGGTCCAGGGGGAAGACTGCAGCTCGTCGCTCTCGACCTTTGCTGGATCACCGCTTCTGACCAGCCTGCAGCAGCTCTCCCACCGGCGGGGTTCTCCCCTCTCCTTTTGCTTTGGACTCAGGCGGGGCCCAGGGAACACCACTTTGTTCATGCCCCAGGGTACCAGGTTGTACATGTGGGTTTTGTGGGTTAGGACCAAATGTTTGTTTGTGTGATTGTGCTTGCTGTGTTGTTTTAATAAATTGTTATTCTGACTTGTGGTCTCTCCTTTGAGTTGAGTTCATTTCCCCTGCTGGTTGACTCTTAAACCAGTACAGCAGGGACAGGGCCCGAGGGAATGGCTGGAACTATGTCAGAGCAAGTTTAGCTGGATCTCAGGAAAAGGTTCTTCCCCTAGAGGGTGGCTGGGCACTGAAGAGGCTCCTCAGGGCAGTGGTCACAGCCCTAAGGCTGCCAGAGCTCAAGGACCATTTGGACAATGCTCTCAGGGACATGGTTTTGTTGTGGTGTCTGTGCAGGGCCAGGAGTTTGGACTTGGATGATCCTTGTGGGTCACTTCCAACTCAGGATATTCTAAAATTTTCCTCTCTTTCATTTTCTTGCCTCAACAAGTCATTTACAGTTAAAGCACAGATTTACTGGTTGCAATCCAAAGAGATACAGATTGAAAAAAAAGCAAGCAAAAATACCTGTTTGTACCACTGAGGTATCACTTTCATCTTGAACCATGGGAGGCTATCTCGCCTTGCAAGTTCTAAAAGCAAAACAACAACAAAAAAAAAACCATATCATTTGAAAATACAGATTTACCTCTTTGTAAGAAATCCACATCCCTTCTCAAAATATATCTATGTCAGTAAGTTATGATAGTCTTGAATGGATCACTTATTGTCTAAAGAACCTGTGACACTCAAATTCACTAATATAAGTTTGTTATCTTGTAGTTTTCTGTTTAAAAGGTAAATGAATTTGCTGAAATGCAGTTTGTAACAAGATTTTAACCAGATAAAATTTTCTTTTTACCTGTTTGAAGACTTCCTTCACATTAAAATGCTGGCTGATGGATATGCTGTAAGAAATCAACTCCTGCAAAATAGCTCCTGGGTAAGCCATTACTTCATCCATTACAACTTGGTTGAGTGTCTCATTCCTGTCAAATTTAAGGTCACTGTTTAAGAGATTCAAGAATGTATAAAAATAAAATAAATTTGACTACAGTGCCTTTAAATCCAAATCTAAATGTCTCACCAATCTCATAAAACCTTTAGGCTAAATGTTGCACCTGATATGTTTATACCAAATACAATCACATCCTGGCTTATTAGCAGAGATTAGTTCATTACAAATATATGAATGTACAAAAATTAAGAAATATTCACAATAAAACCTTCCACATCTTTCCTTTTGGATAGGAAATCATTCAAAATCTGTGCTTATGTAAGGAATATTAAAAATGAGAGGTCAAATTACTGTCCTCCATATTTGTTCTGTATTGGTGCTCAGCTTTGAACGAGCCTGTCACAAGAGACTGCAAAGCTTCCCCACCCCAAGGGAGGTGATTGGCATCTCCTTAACATATATTAATCCAATGGACTCTAAGTTTTGTGGGACTCTCACCACTGAGAAGACCAGAAGAACAGGACCTATGGGATGCTGCCGGGTTTCATGGACTGGTGATACATTTTCTATTTTCATCTCTCTCTGTCACCCTCTTTCTCCCCCCTCCTTTTTCCTATTTCTTTCTATCTCTCTTTCTCAGCCTCACATTTACTGTTAAATAAAACCCACACTATTGACTTTGGCACATGATCTTGTTTGCACCTTAATTCCGGCAGAGGCATTTCTAATCCTTTTAATAACCAGATCATAACAATAGGTTACATTGCCTTCCTGCAACCTCACATTGTATTTTAACTTGTTCCATTACCTTTGGGGTTTTTTAAATCGTTCTAATGAGCATTAAGAGCACCAACCCCAGAGCTCTAACCACAATCCCACTGGGAGGTGTGTGAAGGTCCACATCACTCTTCTAACCTGCCTCGACCTCCTGGGTGTGAGAATAGAGCTGCTTCCTCTCAGCCTGTTTAATCTTCACACCTGCTGCTGAGCATGGTATGTGTCAGTTTTTATAATGGTTTTTATAGTTGCAAATGCCTAATCATGAGACAGGTCACAGAAATATTACCAAAATCAATATTTTGGCTATCTGAAAGCTCTTAGCGAATTCTAGTCCTCGCAGCTTTGAACGAGATCAAATCTGAGACCACGGGTGATGGTGCAGACCCATTTCTGATTCCTGTGAGTCAAGAATCTGAACTACTACTTTTAACTTCTGCATAAGGCATGGATAAGGCACAACAATACTGATCTGGTGTAGTTTTTGAGTGATACCAGTCTTCCTTAGTCCTGCTCATAAACTGTGAGTATTATTTGCCTTAACCTTGTTCAGTATGTACATTATTTCATTTTACAGTCTCACATGAAGTAGCAAGCAGTGTTTTTCCACATCTTTGCACTACAGCATGAACAAGATCTAAGTAGTACAACCAACATGAA